AAAAAAAAAAAAAAAAGAAAGAAAAAGAAAACAGGAAAGTAGAAAAGTAAACAATGAAAGACTCTCTAAATATCTGGGAAAAAAGTATGGTTTTCTCATTGATGTCTTGTGAATGAATTTTAGTTCCTTTTGGAAACATGAGTTCCAGAGACAGTATTTTTGCTTTTCTTTTCCTAATCTTTCTTTTTTGGAGGGCGAGGGGTCAGAGTCTCACTCTGTCACCCAGGCTGCAGTACAGTGGCATGCTCACAGCCACCGCAGTCTTGAACTGCCGGACTCAGGTGATCCTTTTGCTTTAGCCTTCCAAGTAGCTGGAGCTACAGGCGTGTGCCACCACACCCAGCTGTTTTTTTTTTTTTAACTTATTGTAGAAACAAAGTCTTGCTAAGTTGCCCAGGCTGGTCTCAAACCTGTGGTCTCAGGCAATCCTCTTGCCTCCTCCTCCCAAAATGCTGGGATTACAGGAGTGAGCCACCATACCCAGCCTCTTTTTCGTTAGGCCTACACAAATGTTAGAGTTCAGTACAAGATTTTTGAATCCTATCTTCTTAAGTAGACAGTAGTTTTCTGTTTTGCTCTTTACTAAATAATTTTTATTATGTGACAGTGTACTTTACTCTCTTAATAGTCACAGGCTTATGGAAAATTTAATAAGAGAAACCAAAAAGTTAATTATATAATTCAGTTATATTTCTAATAAATAAATGCTACCATGTAGCCATAACTGCTATGTAATTGGAAGCCTTTCTGATTCTCTTTTCTCCTCCTAATCTGGTTAGTGCCCTGAAATCTCAATATAACATATGCCAATGTCTGTGAAGTTAATGAGTCAAGTAGCCATGAGGGAAATAGTTCAAAATTAAGTCAAAGGATAACATGGAATCAAGGCAGACAAAAGGTCCTGCTTCTCCAAGGACTGATACAAATGAAAGAAAAGAAAGAACTCAGCTTGTGTCTACAGGTTTCTTTTCATGAATTGTCTAGCTGGAACATGGACCATGAGTTGAAGTAGAGAGCAAAAGTAGGCAAAATAGTATACTTAAAAGGGGTCAAATTAGCTAAAATAGTCTGTTCAAAATAAACCTGGTCAGATCTGAGCCAGGTTCTTAAGGGAAAACTGAGTCAAGCCAGGGAATCGAAATACAGTACTAAATCTCAAGGAATAGAAGTATATTCTTTTTTTTAAAATTCTGGCACATAATAATTTTACATATTTGTGGGATACAGTATGATGTTTTGATACATGTATAAATTGTATATGATCAAATCAGGGTAATTGGCATATCTATAACCTGAAACATTTATCATGTCTTTGTGATGAGAGCATTCACAAGCTCTCTTCTAGCTATTTTGAAAGATATAATACACTGTTGTCCACTCTAATCATCCTACTATGTGATAGAACCCCAGGACACATTCCTTCTATCTAACTGTAGCTTTGTATCCACTGAACAATCACTCACCGTGCCCACCTCTCACCCTCCCCATCCTCTGGTCATCATCATTCTACTTTCTACTTCTATGAGAACTCTTTCCATTCCACATATGAGTGAGATCATGCAGTATTGGTTTTCTGTGTCTGGCTTATTTCATTTAATGCAATGTCCTCCATTTTGCTGCTAATAACAGGATTTTGTTCTTTTTTATGGCTGAATAGTAAATATTTTATTGTGTAGATAAACCACCTTTTCTTTATCCATTCATCTATTGGTGGACATTTAGGTTTCATATCTTGGCTATTGTGAATAATACTGCAGTAAATATATGAGTGCAGATATCTCTGACATACTGATTTCATTTCCTTTGGATGTATACCCAGTAGTGGGACTGCTGAATCATATGGTAGTTCTATTATTAATTTTTTTAGGAACCTTATAATGTTCCTAAATTAACCTTCATAATTGTTGTACTAATTTACATCCCCACCAGTAGTATGTAAGAGTTCCCATTTCTCCACATCATCACCAACACTTGTCATCTTTTGTGGGAAACAGCCCAGAGTCAAGATCCAAGTGCAGGTAGCTAGAAGGGAAGCAGTTAGGAAGGGCACAAACTGATTACTGCAAATAGTCTTTGACTGTCTTCATACCAGTGGATTTATGGTTACTTAGGTACCTCAGATTTCCTTAAAAGTACAGTGACAAGTTATCCAGAAATTGGGTAGATTTAAGGTGATAAGAGAGTGACTGCAAGGGCAGGAAATGAAATGTTGAAAGTGATAACAGAGATCCCAGAGATCTTAATGTTTTAAGCTTATGCCAAGTTGATTGAGATACATATGAAATTGTATATATGTACTTGATAAATAATTTGTACCCTGAAATTTCTTCATATTATAGTAGAAAATAGTGGAACATTTGAACAGATATTCTAAATAGGCTGTATTCCTTGGGAAGGATACCACAAAAGGAAAAAAAAAGTAGCTTATGAATTTTAGACCTAAATCCTGGAGGAGAACTTTCTCCCTTTTTGAACCCTAAGGATAATGGTAATGAATTTTTTTTTTTGAGTCAGAGTTTTGCTCTGTCGCCCTGGCTGGAGTACAGTGGCATGCTCACGGTCACTGTAACTTAGACCTGCTGGACTCAGGCTATCCTTCCGCCTCAGCCTTTCAAGTAGCTGGAACTATAGGTGTGCACCACAACTCATGGCTGATTTATTATTATTTTTTTTTACTTATTGTAGAGACAAGGTCTCGCCATGTTGCTCAGGCTGGTTTCGAACCTGGTGGCTCAGGCAGTCCTCTCATCTCAGTCTCCCAAAGTGCTGGGATTACAGGCGTGAGCCACTGAACCCGGCTAAGTAATGAAATATTAACCCAGAGGAACAAAAATAGGAATTCCTCTCTGAGAACTCTCTGCTTGAGAGCTACCTGGGAGGTTCCTCATATTCCGTAGTCAGTGTGAGCAGAAGAGTTCTTTTTTTTTTTTGAGTTGGAGTCTCACTCTGTCACCCACTCCCGGCCACCGCAGCCTCGCTTGCTGGGCTCCGGCGATCCTTCCACCTCAACCTTCCAAGTAGCAGGAACTACAGGCACGCGCTACCACACCCGGCTAATTTTTTTGATTTATTGTAGAGATGAGGTCTCACCTGCCCAGGCGGGTCTCGAACCCATGGGCTCAGGCAATCCACTCACCTCAGCCTCCCAAAGGCACAGGATTACAGGCCGAGCCACCAAGCCCAGCTAGAAGAGTTCTTAAACATTGGACATGGTTGGCTGTAAGGTACTAAAATGTATATGAAAGCATCTTGTAAGTTGTAAAATACCGTACAGGTATTAGTTGTTATGTTCTAAGAATCCAGTGCCCTCCAAGGCTCTTGCCAGTCTTTCATACTGAGCCATTTCGTCCTCTGATTTCCATATTCCTATTAATAGTGTCACTGCTTTCAGTTTCTCATATTAACTCTGACTCTTATTCTCTAGGGCCTTTTGTAAATATTACCTCCTTCATGAAATCTTTCCTGATTTCTCAAAAAACAGATATACATTCTCTTCTCTTTGGCTTCCCTTCCCATTTACTGATTTTCAGCTTTTGTTTTTTGTTTTGTTTTGTTTTTTGCATAAATATGTTTCTGTTATAGCACCACATTTTTTTTCCCAAAAAACCTCACATTCTATAAAAGCATGCGCTAAAAATAAACAAGGATTATGAGAAAACACAGCAAGGAAATTACAACTTAGGCTATTAGAAAAGAAAATAGGAACCATGCACAGTGGCTCATGCCTATAATCCCAGCACTTTGGGAGGCCAAGGCCAGAGGATTGCTTGAACCCAGAAGTCTGAGACTGGCTAAGCAACATAGCAAGACCTCAACTCTACAACAAATCTTTTAAAATTAAAAAATGAAAATAAAAACAAGCCTATCATAGTGGCATGTGCCTGTAGTTCCAGCTACTTGGAAGGCTGAGACAGAAGGATCACCTGAGCCCAGGAGTTTGAGGCTTCAGTGAGCCATAATCATGCCACTGCATTCCAACCTAAGTAAAACCCTGACTTTAAAAAAAAAAAAAAAAAGCCAGGAGTGGTAGCACACAACTGTAGTCTCAACTACTCAGGAGACTGAAGTGTGAGGATCAGTTGAGCCCAGGCATTTAAAGCTGTGATGAGCTGTGATCATGCCACCGCTCTCCAATGTACTCCAGCCTGTGTAACAGAGTAAGACTGTGACTTAAAAAAATAAATAGAAACTATCCATTATTAAATTCAGTTTTGTCCTAGAGCAGTTACAGTGGGAAAACATGTATTTAATTATTCTTTTGGGCAAAAGGTATTTAATTTTCTGTAGTTGAATTGCTAAATGTATGACCTGTACATTGTCAAAGTAGTAATCTCAGTCATGGGCTCACTGTAGATGTATTATTGCTACCATTCAACAGTTTTTAGATGTGAGGCATTAAACAACAGATCACTCCAACGAAAGGGGATAAATGCCACTTCTGTCTTTCCTTAGAATGTCAAGAGGCTTCTACAGAATGCCAAAGTGACAGAGTTTGATGCTGCCCGCCTAGTAATGCTTTATGCTTTACATTACGAACGCCACAGCAGCAACAGCTTGCCAGGACTCATGGTGGACCTCAGGAATAAAGGCGTTTCTGAGAAGTATCGGAAGGTAACTAACTACATTTCCACGTAAAGCCCTGCAAACAGGAACCGACTCTGTTGTTATACTCTTAGCTCTAGCAAATGATCAATCATATTGTTTTTATTTATAGAAATGCATAATTCTGTCTTCTTATGTCATTTCCTTAGAAGAGTTATTTTCTTATGAGATGAACTTCCTGATCCCCTAGCAATAAAAAGTTGCTTCTCTTTTTTTAATAGCTTGTGTCTGCAGTTGTTGAATATGGTGGTAAACGAGTCAGAGGAAGTGACCTCTTCAGCCCCAAAGATGCTGTGGCCATCACCAAACAGTTCCTTAAAGGACTGAAGGTATAGACATCTCTGTGCTTTCCTAAGTGAGAAACATTCGAAGCCCCTTAGTCTGAGAATGAACGAATATGATCTTCAAGGTATCTTCAAGATTTAGTACTGTGTCAATTCAATGAAATTAAAACAGACATCCTCTTGAAAGCTTCTTTTAGTTCTTTCTATGTAGGAGCAGTGTCAACACTAGACTAAACAGCTGAGCAGAAAGTAACTGGAGATATTGCCAGGAAATACTCAAGAGTACAAAAACAAACAGTTCTGTTAGTCACAGATATTTCACTCCGTTTGTTTATAATTTAGGACTTGTTAGGTAGTTTCTCTTTGAAGGAAATTAAAGATGAAGCAAACATTTGTTGGTCTGTTAAAAATACTAACCTTAGCCAGGCGCAGTGACCCACGCCTATAATCCCAGCACTCTGGGAGGTGGAAGTGAAAGGATTGCCTGAGCTCAGGGGTTTGAGATTAGCCTAAGCAACAAGGCAAGACCTTGTTTCTACAATAAACCAAAAAATTAGCCTGCAGGGCTCAGGTGATCCTTCCGCCTCAGTCTTCCAAGTAGCTGGAACAACAGATGTATACCTGGATAATTTTTTGGTTTAGTGTAGAGATGAGGTCTTGCCCAGCAGATAGAGACAGCAGTGGCCGTGAACGTGCACAGCACTCCAGCCTGGGTGACAGAATGAGGCTCCAACTCAAAAAAAAAACACTAACATATTTTCTTAAAATATTCAAAAATAGCCGGGCTTGGTGACTCAGCCTGTAATCCCACGCTTTGGGAGGCTAAGGTGAGTGGATTGCCTGAACCTGCGGGTTCGAGACCTGCCTGGGCAACTTGGTGAGACCTCATCTCTACAATAAATTAAAAAATCAGCCGGGCATGGTAGCGCATGCCTGTAATTCCGACTACTTGGAAGGCTGAGGCAGAGGGATCGCAGGAGCCCAGCAGGTCAAGGCTTCAGTGGCCAGGAGGGCCACTGCACTCCAGTCTGGGCGACAGGGT